CGGTGGGGATTAACAATACCGTGTTGGAGATCCCAGCTGCAGCACTGCCAAAGTGGCGCCAGAAATCCGTTGTTCCAGGGTCCTCGTGGTCTCAGCCGATCATCCTCACGGATGATTCGGGCGACGACCAGCCAGATGACTTTGACAAGATCATGGACCTCCGAAAGGAGACAGAGAACGACAACAAAGACGCCGATACAGTCGTCCTTGATGCCGAACCGGAGACTGATCCAGACAAGACCTCTTTCACGCCGGGCACACTTGACGTAACGACACTGCCTCAGCTGCCGGCCCCGAGCTGGGCTTCAGACGCGGGGCGAAAGGTCCTTGGCAAAGAGCTTGCCAAGTTACAGAAGGTGCAGGCTACAACACCTCTTCATCAGCTCGGCTGGTTCATCGATTTTAGCAACATTACAAACATGTTTCAGTGGATCGTTGAGCTGCACAGCTTCGAAAAGTCCTTGCCTCTTGCGCAGGATATGGAGCGAGCGGGCGTTGAGAGCATCGTCCTCGAGATCCGATTTGGCCGCCAGTTCCCTCACTCGCCCCCCTTCGTCCGGGTCGTTCGCCCCCGTTTCTTACCCTTTTCGCGCAGAGGTGGTGGTCATGTCACGGCTGGCGGTGCCATGTGCATGGAGCTTCTGACGAACAGCGGTTGGTCTGTTGCGAGCAGTATGGAGAGTGTTCTACTCCAGGTTCGCTTGGCTCTGTGCAATCTCGAGCCTTTTCCAGCTAGACTTGAGTACCAGGGAACAGGCCAAATGACTGGAGGAGGACCCGACTATGGCGTCGGTGAGGCCATTGATGCGTACAGACGCTCTGCCATGGCCCATGGCTGGCAGGTGCCTCCAGACCTACACTTGACGGCCAATGCGATGTGAAGGACAGGGCAAGCAGGGTCGATGAGCAGAGTTGATTGTTTCTCCAGCAAGGTGTGCTTGCTCATGGTAAGGCGTTTTCATGGAGGCTACTTAAGGTGGGGGTTAAGGGCTTCAAAAGAAGCAGGCATATGAGTTCAAGGGACATGGGAATGACGGCATGGTCCATAGCGAGGCAGTTTAATAATTCTTTCATTCAGAGACACACTCAGGTGATTGTAGCCCACATGCCATGGCCTGTACTGAACATCTTCTGCGGCTGGCGTCGAAAGTAAAACTTCATACGCTAGCACGCTCCGGTGGTCCAGCACATCGGCTTTGAATGCCGGGCGAACATAATACATGCACGAGGTAAAGAAAGAGTTGAGGATGGTGAAGCAGGCTCTCTGAGCCACCTTAGGGTACTCCGTGAGGTGACTACAGCTGTGGATACCTTACCTCCACTTACCTTGCCTTACCTTAAAGTTGAGTGGGGTCTTGCGGATAAGATAACACTCGACCAGAAGCTAAGGCAGTAATACGTACCCACCACTCCTACCTCAAGGCTCAACCTAAGACAGGTGAAGTAGGTATCGTACTCCCTTGGTTGACTTTGTTTGTCGTACGCAACGCAAAGAATTCTCACCAAATTGACAAACGAATCCCTGAAACATCCGACGACACATTTGGCGTCTTTGATCCCGTTGTAGGCGCTAGCAAACCTGTATGCCAATATTGAGTTGTTCCTCTGACGTTGCTATACCTAGTTAGCAATCACCACCACTGATCGCGGGCCAAGGATAGGCGGCACAAGGTACCTGACCAACACGGGACACCAAGGTCCACAGTGCTGCACTCAACTGCACCTACGTACAGCTTCCCCAGACTCGAATACGCCCGCCCGCGGCCTGAGGCACGACACGACGTCTTGGCAGCCCGCCGGTAGCTCACTTCCTCAAACCCTCCCACGACACTCTCTCTACACTCCTTATTGGACTCGGATCGCCTTCCAGTCCAACCGCCTTTCACTCTCATCTCGCTGCCCCAAATGCATCGCGCAGCAGTGAGGGCCTTACGGACAACTTACCGATGTACGGCTCGTAGTTTCGCACGCAACAGCCGACGGGGTCTCTTGGACCATAACCTCTCCTCGTCCTACGCTACCCGCCACGGCCTGCGATCCTTCTCCTCGTATCAACACCACCCCGAGCATGCCGTCCAGCCGCTAAAGTCCTCCATGTACATCCGCCGCTTCTCCGTCGCCCTTGTGTCCACCCTCGTCGGCTACGGCGCCTGGTACTCCTACAACGGAACCGGTCTCGATAAGGCATCGAGCTTGACGAGGAGCTTCACCACCGCATCCAATGCCGGCGGCGATGCTGCCCCGACCCGTTCTGTTCTCGTCGTAGGCGCTGATCAGCTGCATACCGGTACATTTGTTGGAGAGGGGCCTATATCCAAGACGACTAGCGACGACGGCCGTAAGGTTATCGAGATGCTGACCCCCGAACAAGCTACCGAGAAGCTGCGCAAGACGGAGCAGTCTTTCCTCGTCAATAGAGGACAGGGCGTACTCCGTTACGACCTTGTCCAGCTTCCTAGCAACGACCCCATCGAAGACGACCATGCCGAGAAGATTGTCGAGGTGCCGAACCAGGCCGCGGGTGCTGCCGGCAAGAGCAACGACTGGATGTTCTGGGGCGTCTTTGACGGCCATGCGTAAGTGAACATTATGGCGGCGTTATCTTTGATGATTGCTAACCACTGAACAGTGGCTGGACAACTTCGGCAAAGCTGCGCCAGACTTTGATTGCCTCCGTTGCCAACGAGCTCAACCAGACCTACCAGTCATCCGCTGACCTGTCTCCTGCGGCTGATGCTATCGATACCGCCATCAAGCTTGGTTTCACTCGTCTGGATGACGAGATTGTAAACCAGAGCGTCGAGAGGGTTCTCAAAGCCGGCTCCAAGACTATGGCTGCAGAGCTGCTGGCACCCGCCCTGTCTGGCTCCTGCGCCCTGTTGTCATTCTACGACAGCAGATCCAAGCTTTTGCGAGTTGCCTGCACTGGCGACTCGCGAGCGGTCCTCGGTCGTCGATCTGCGTCTGGCAAGTGGACAGCTACCGCTCTCTCTGTTGACCAAACAGGAGGCAACCCCGATGAGGCAGCCCGCCTTCGCAAGCTCCACCCTGGCGAGGACCGAGTCGTTCACAACGGCCGAGTTCTTGGCGGTTTGGAACCGACCCGCGCGTTCGGCGATGCTAGCTACAAGTGGAGCCGCGAGATCACCAACAGACTCCGTGAATCCTTCTTTGCCCGGTCCGCTTCCCCTCTCCTCAAGACGCCCCCGTACGTCACTGCCGAGCCTGTCGTCACAACCACAAAGATCGAGCCTGAGAATGGTGACTTCGTCGTTATGGCTACCGACGGCTTGTGGGAGATGCTTACCAACGAGGAGGTTGTTGGTCTTGTCGGCAAGTGGATCGAGACTCAAGCCAGCGGCTCTGGCTCGCAGTTTGATTCTACCTGGTCCAAGCTCTTCGGATCCAAGAAGTCTAGCCTCCCCGTCGAGCAGGCGAGCGACAAGAGCGTCGATGGCCAGAAGACGCCTATCCGCCTGCAGCAGTGGGGAATTTCTCCCGACGCCCCCGAACGGTTCGTCGTCAAGGACAAGAACGTGGCTACGCACTTGGTCCGTAACGCCCTTGGTGGCAAGAACGAAGAGCAGGTCTCCGCCCTACTGACTCTGCCCTCCCCCTTCTCGAGACGCTACAGGTGAGTCAGGTTGCAAGTTCGAGGTAGAGCACATGAATCAGGAAGACTGACCAATCCGAAACAGGGACGATTTGACGGTGCAAGTCATTTTCTTCGGAAACGGTGAGAAGACGGGCTCGGTCAATCTCAACGAGGAGGCAACGGCTCCGTCGAAGCAGCAAGCCGTCAAGGCGAAGCTTTAGAATGCGTCTTCGGTAAACATGTTTCCGCAACGACCATATTACGGGACATCAACATCAGCGCACGTGTTTGTATCTTGTCTGTATGAATTAACTTCTCCAAACCTCGCTGGCAGCGTAAAAGAAGAAGAAGAATCGTGGAGGTTGGGTGGGTACGGCGAGACGTTGTCGCCCACTTGGCGCAAGAAGAGGTGCTGTTTCTGGGAAGCAAAAGACAGTTTACGATGTCTACCCGATCGAGGCATCTACCTGTTCAGAGAAACCAATGTTTGTTTAGCGATAGAGTCAAGTCTAGTGTTTTTCAATGAGGTTTGCTTGGCCCCGTTCATGAGGCTTACTCCTTGTTCAACAACTGATTGTGAAGTCGAGGCCGATTACATGACCTCGCCGGGATGAGTTTCCGATGAGACTGAATGCCTAGTCAATCTATTCGTCTGCCTTACGGATGTCACGTTCATGGCACGCAAAGTTGTATGATTTCTCAAGCTTTTTTACGTTTCATTCGTGGTTAATGATGGCAAGGGTTTACAGAAAACCAAGAAAAAGATTTCCCTCCCCATGGAAGTTTTCTCTCTTCTTTTCATTTTCACTCAACAGCCCACATCGCTTCCGCTTTCTCGATCCTCACGCGCTTGTCTTGCCTTTCTCTTTCTCTCGCTTCTGTTCTCTCGTTTCTTTGAAAAGAAAAAAAAAACCCCAGTTTCCCAAACTCGATAAACGCCAAATGGAGGACTTTCCCTCCAAAACGGGGAAAACGGATGATGAATAACAGGAAACTCCTAATGATGAAGGCACAGAGACCCTATGCTGCAGGTTGAAATATTTTCGTGAGAAGTCCGTGGATAGTCCTCGAGAAGGGGGGAACCATGAAGGTCTTTGTAGCGTGGTTTCGTGGTTTCGCAGCCCTGTTTGTTGATTGCCTCAACTCGAAGAGCTGTGGTCGTTTTTCTCTTTGCTCCGCTCGCCTCTTGTGAGTTCTCATCTCTCTTCAATCTCGTCGCTTGTAAATAATAGTCCGTGGCTGTAGGTACCCTTGGTCAAAAAGCACCTAGCTCTTACACTCTCTCGGGGGTTATCTTATCTCTCGCTCGATCCCAGTCATGAGCGTGACTAATTCAATTGGCCTCGCTCCTACACACGAAGCCCTCCAGCCACTGTCACTGCCCTGGATGCAGTGACGAAGCGGACTACGAGTGATTTTGTCCACTCTGTTGTGAGTGATGGTCGTCGTCTCCGTCATGGTGCAGCGTGACACTGTTGAACTCTTCGAAAGGATCAACGACTTCACCACCGGGGGTCGTCATGCCACTATCCAGAGGAACTCCCTTGAGGTTTGCTTGTAGCGGGTTGGATCCGCTCAAGTCGATGCTCTCACTTTCCTTAACATTGCGGAAGTTGACAGTATCGATGCCGCGCCCAGTAACAGGCACAATGGGAGGCTTCATGTGTCGAATCAACGCCCACTGAGTCGTCTTGAAGAACGGATGAGCCTTGATATCCGAAGCACCGGCCTTGGCACCCAATCTCCGGTTTTCGTCTTTGATCAAAAGTTTACGAATCAGGGATTTGCAAAGGCTACGCTCTTGTCAGTTCAACTTGCATTTTCATCACGTCATTTCAAGCTTACTTGGATAATTGAGGTGCCCCAGCGTGGTCCGGGAAGGGGATGTCTTCCCTCAAGATATTGGCAAAAGTCGCATTTCGGTTCTTGCCCTTGAAGGGGGTGGTTCCGTAAAGCATCTCGTAAATCAAGATGCCGAGGGTCCACCAGTCCACGGCACTAGTGTGGCCGCTACCCTTAATGACCTCTGGTGCAATGTACTCCTCTGTTCCGACGAACGAGTTGGTGCGGAAATTGGCGATGCAGGACCGAGTGTCGATGTGCAATGAGGTGGTGCTGGTACCTGTCTTGCCAATGACCATTGTGGGCTTTCCACCGAGATCGGACTGCTTCGACAAGTCAAAGTCCGAAAGCATGATGTGGCCCGACTGGTGGAGTAAGATGTCTGCATAGTATGTCAGCAACGGATTGGTAAGCGCGAAACTGGCTCTCGTCGAACTCACTCTCTGGCTTCAAGTCGCGATAGATGAAGCCCATCAAATGCAGATATTCCAAGGCCGCGGTGACCTCGGCGGCGTAGAATCGCGCATCGTCTTCGGGGATACACTTGCCGGGGCGCGTCTGCAGCGCCCTGAAGAACTCTCCACCACTACAATATTCCATGCACAGATACAGATAATCCTCCGATTGGAATGAGTGGTACAGCGTAACAATGAAGGGGTGGTTACTCGTAGCTAGAATTTCTTGCTCGGCAAGGGCGCGTTTAATCTTGTTCCGCTTGATCATCTCCTTCTTGCTCAATACTGCAGCGAGTCAGCAACACGTCAGGGTTTGGCTACCGGATATCCTGGATTGAATATTACCTTTCATGGCGTAGAGACGACTGCTCTTCTTCTCGCGGACGAGGTAGACCTTGCCGACGTCTCCCTTGCCAATCAACTTGATCTTGTCGAAACTTTGCGGGCCGACCTCGACATCGCGGACCTTGATGGAATTGGAGCTGTAGGTCCTCCGGAATGTGAGACTCGTACGGTTCGGGGGTGGGAGGTTGCCGAGGACGTCCTTGTCGGGAACGCCCAGGCTAGGGGCAGACGCCTTGGACGGATCAACCATCTCGAGGGTGCCCGAGTCCTTGTCGAGAACCAACGGGTCCTTGCTCAACTCGGCGGTGGCGGGACGCTCGGCGCTGCCCTTGCCTTTGGAGAACAAGCCCTGGGCATTGGGGGCACTGGCGACTCTCCTAAGTTTCCTTGCCAATTCCTCACGTCCGGCGCTCGTCGTCTGCTGTTCGGGGCCGCCGTCAGGACCTTGGATCTTGAAATTTGGGGTATCGGGAGGGCTAGGAGGTACTGATTCGTGGTTGTGATGGCGAAGGCCCGGCTGACCCTGGTGTGCGAAGTAGGGATTCGCGTGCGCGGTCGGGCTGAGGGCCTCGTCGAGGGGGTTGCCTTCGCTGGCGGTGGTGTTTGTCCTCAATCGGCCGACGGTGCCCTTGAAAAAGCTGCTACCAAACTTGCTCCGGATTTCTGGGCGGGCGGCGGCGGCGTCTTGTGAGGAGTGGACGTGAGCAGCGGAGGACTTTTCTCTGTCACGGTCGGCGCCGCTGTTGAGGTTGATGCGGAAGAGGTTCTTCAGCTTCTGGTTGAACTGGGCAGCGCCATTCTGGTGGGTTCGGCTGGCAGGCATATCGGAATCTCGGGGGTGCGCAATCAAGCGACCGATGCCATGGCTGACGGGACAGTTACGGGAGAGATGCGAAGAGGACCGACGATGTTCGGAAGTGCGGAAAGGAGATGGAGCGGAAGAAGAGCGGCGACGGTAGTATGCAGGTAGGTAGGGAGGTAGGTCGGAGGTGAGTAGGTTAAGGTGAAGGGTGAGAGTGAGGTAGGTGGGAGGAACGTGGGACTGGATGCGGAGTGTAAGTAGCGTCGAAAAGGCAAGGTAGGGTCGGGTGGTGGTGGAGGACGAGGAGGAGGTGCAGCAAGCAAGGCCGGGAGAGAAAGATAGGTGTTGGCTGGCTGGCAGGTAGGTAGGTGACAGAACGGGATGGTTGACGGTAGGTGGTGGTGGTGGTAGGCAAGGACGGATAGAATAGGCGGTAGGCGAGCGGTGGACGGGGGAGGAGAGAGTCGAAAGCGAGTTAGTAATATGAGGTGGGCTTAGGCGTCTTTCCGGACGGGCTTCACGCTTCGGCTTCCACACCTCAACTTCCTCCCATGGACCATGGACCATCCATCAACCCCCCCGCTCGTTGGTCGATGACCGTGGCCGTGGTCCAGGTCGAGGTCCTGGTCGTAGTCCTGGTCTTGGCTCGTCACCCGAGAACTACACTACCTTAGGTACGGCTATCTGTTCGCTCCTCTCACAATTCACAGCACTCTCGATTCCCATTTGGGGAGCTCCCTGGGGTCTCGCTCTTTCTGTCGCCGCCGCCGCCGCCCACCGGGGCTCAATTGTTCTCTCTCCTCTCTATGTACGGGCGGATAAAGATGGACGAGACCTGTGCCCACTGTTCAGTGGCTCTCGGGCAGTGCACCGCAAGGCACAGGGGATCCCTAGCTCCAGTGGGTATACAGGCAGCCCACGCGAAAGAGCGGCAGCACAGCAGGAAACGCGCGCCTTCGGGGGGTAAAGAGGCAGTTTACCAGGTGACTTTTCATCGCCTTGCCTTACTGTGTGGCATGGCCAAGGGGGGAGGGGAGAGGATCCAATGATACAAGACATCCACCAACGGATCAGAATGGGACGGCTTTTTGGCAGGGATGTTCCGCTTCAGGCGGGCCCGGCTTGGGCCTAGGTTCCTCTAGGTTCCAGCATTGGTCAAGACCTCTCACAATGCTGGTCCAGAGTCCTGTGCCTCTGTTCTTTCTGTTCAGTCCAGGCTTGTGTGCTTGTCAGGTCCGAGCAGGCTGGCAGGCTGCTTGCAAAATGGGAATTGGCATGGCTTTGCTGACAAAAGGGCATTTGATCCGGCGATTGGTGCTCTTTTCCCCGACGATTTTCCACGCCTCGCAAATTCCCCCATTCACCACAGCTAACGTTATTCCATTGGGTCATTGGCTTTGCAAGTCACTCGAGGTACCTATCTCGATTCTTCTATGCATAAGGTACGCATCCTGTCCCGTCTGTCCACACCACCTTCAAAACCAGAGGGAGAGTACCGGTATATCACTCGTCAACTCTATCTCAAGTGCCCTCTTCCCAACCGTTGATGCCTTTACCTTCTGTTCCAGTTTCTTTCTCTCCCTTTTGGCTTCAGAGCGTTCTGGTTCTTATTCATGCGTTCTCATCCCTCCGGCCAGTGTCGACGACGAAGGCAGGATAAATAAAACGCACAACATGGGCTTTGGTACTGACTACTGAGCGCAAGCCCAATGCACTGTCAAGAGCCAAGATAACACCGGCGCCAGCTCGAGATACGAAAGCCTCACCGGCAATTACATGCCAGAGCCCCAGCTCTCACAACAATGTTTCCCACGACAACAGCCGTCAATCTTCTACCTCAGTCTCTGATTCACCCTCTCTTTTCTAGTTTTTGCGTCCTCACGAGGAAGTCCCCGACGTTGACATGTTTTATATTTTTTCTCCCCCTTCGAGGGCTCGTGCAAAACACCCAGCATCAGACGAATATGCAGAAATGGGCACAGATGTCGGGGCAAATAAAAGCCTCATTGTGTTTGACCTCGCAGGCTATTCCACGTCTACCGCTGCAATTTTTGGACAGACGAGAGATGGAAAGAGGAAAATAATAAACCTTACACGAGCTTGTTTCTGAAATGTCTAATAAGACACTGTCACACTATCAACCCTCTTTTTTGCCAGACACGCTCCCATCAACCACACCCGTCGTGCAATCCCGCGCTAGCACTCCAGCCCCTCGTAACTTAGTACCCAGGCGGTGTTAGGTTACAACAGAGTACTTATGTCCCCCCTCAATCGGTCCATTTTCAGCCCTCCACACCACCACGACACAGCGCGGGTCAATGGCCGGCGATCCAGTCGTCTGGGGCACTAGAGAGGTTTCCCGCCTGCTTGTTAATCAACCATGGAACTCGACTCTACAGCCTTTGAGACAGAACTCGACCGAGCAGAGAAAAGTCGCGAGCATCCACGGCGGCGCCATCTCCCATCTCCACCTTCCGTACCTAGCTGGTGTGGTTGGCTTGTCACGTTCGCGTTCAGCGCTTTTCGACGAATCATTTCACAGTCTTCACCCAGTCTCTCACTTTTCCCTCTACATTGGCACCTGAGCCCGTCGGCCGCCCGTCGATTTACTAGGCGTGTAATGCTGCATGGGAAGTATTCTAGAACCGATCTTCAGGTTCTTTTTTCTTTTGGTGTAGGTGGTCCTCTCTCGGCTCTACCTAGGGATATCGTGCTATCCTATCTCGTCTGTTCCGATTGTTCGTTTCGCCCACCCGAAACCTCTGCAGAGAAGAAACTCGATTCAACTGATGCCCGGTAAGCCGGCCTACTTCCCGCCGCCCTGCTGAATCGAATGCCCTGAATGCGCAAGAGAGGAGGGCTGGGACGTGTTTCTTCCTGAACAGCGGCCCTCCCTGGATGCCGAGGTGTCACTCCACCTTCGCCTCCTCATGCAACGTTGAGCAATCTCCCCCACAAAACACCGCACATCCCCGCCGATGATGTAAGATGGAATACGACCAGACTTCGTCCCTGGCGCCTTTTTTTTCTGCTTCCCTTCCCTTCCTGCATCAGCCTGAACTATCTAATTTAGCAAGAGCCGCAATGCCAAGTCATCCCTTTCGAATGAATAATCATGCTCAGACACGCGACGACGACGACGACTCTCCCGGCCCATCCGCTACCCGTCAAGTGAGGCCTCGACAAATCATCCATGCTCGTCTGGGGAAGCGGGAGACCGCTCAACGGCCTTTCCAGTTGGCCGAACGAGTCCGTTGCACGACTTTCCAGGGGCCTTCTGAGCAGCGGATACCCCCGTTATCCTGAAGTTTCCGTCATCCCTAGGGAGGCGCAGTCGGTCAACCCTCATCCGAAACCATGCCATGAAGCTTGGTCCGCACAAGCATTGTCAGCGTGCTCGCCTCGCCGTTCAGTATCGTCTCAATGGTGTTGTCGTCGCCTCCAATAGCCGCCAGGACTCAGCCCATGATTCACGTCAACGGTTTGCTTGCGCCACAACCATCAGCCACGTCATGCTCCTTCGGCCACCTCCTCCATTGCGTCGTCGTCTTCCTCCTCGCTTGGCAGATTCTGGTCTCTGAGAAGCAAAAGATCCTTGAGTTTCCGCCTATTGTTGCGCCACGTGTACAAGTCCTCCTCCTTCTGATACTTGATTGACGGTGTGATTTGGTTGCCAGCCTTGTCAAAAAGGTAGTCAGGAAGCTTGGCCCCATCATCGGGATCGTATCGCTTGAACGACACTTGCGGCCCGTCCCCTACCTGCCAGGCGACTGGGAGCATGTGTAGATCCTCCACGTGAGATTTGAGGTCCGCCAGTGTGGGGAACTCGTGAGGCGGCTGCTTTTGGGCGCATTTGGCCCATCGACATCCAGCTGCTACCGTTTTGGTATGAACAATCGACACATGCTTTTGCAGAGTCGCAAAATTGTGAAGCTCGGCCTTGCAACCCTCCCACTCGCAGATGTACGTGTTGAAGTGTGGGTTTAGACTCTTGTAGATCTCTCGCGGCTTGGGTGAAGCTGCTTTTGGCGGTCGACCTCGCCGCTTTCCCGCGTAAAGGGCGCCTGTCTTGGGCCTATCTGGCCGCAGTTTTCTTGGCCCTGCCTCACCGGCCTCCTGTAGGGCTTTCTTGCCCGTCAGATTCGGTCGAAAACCCTTTGGCCGGCCGCGCTTGCGAGGCTGCAGTGGAGGAGTCGCCGCCCCTGGTGAAGTTACCTCTAACTCTGGCTCATCTGCGACGGCTTCTGGTAAGGCTGGCTTGGCGAGGCTCACGCCTACTTTTGCCTGAGCTGCTAGTCTTCTGAACTGGGGTGATAGGTCCGATATCACCAGGTCGTCTGCGTCGTCCTCGACTGTCCTCATGGGGGTCGTTCCTGTACGTTTTCTAGGACTCGATGGAAGAACCACGGCGAACGAGGAGGACCGTGGCGCTGGCTGAGCTGTTGATGTCCTCGGCTTTGTCTGAGCGGCTGAAGTAGAAGTCTGTGGCATGCTGCTGCCTGGTCGGCCGAAAAACTTATCCAAGGTGCGCTGTCGTGGGATAGACGGATTAGTTGGGCCCTGTGAGGTGGACTCATCCTTGGTGCTTGAGTTTGTGGGAAATAGTGGTGGCATGGTGAATTTACTCAAATCGACGAGTCCTAGCTGAACAGTTCTCTTTGAGCATGCTGGTGAGTGAGATTTAATCGGTTCTCAAAGTGTGTAGTCGTGATGAGTTGTGATGACTTGTCGTGAGGTTTGCTGCGTGGGTGATCTATGCAAAACCAACCTAGTGTTGTATTGTTGAGTATGAGCAGTGCGAGGCACTCGAGAGATCGGCCGGGGATATTGCAAAGGCCGATCTTTGAGGTCGAAAAGATGAGGTAGCGACGCGTTGATAGGTTGCAGGCGCGACTGCAGTCGACTGCAGTTGAGGGAACTTGGGGAAGGAACTGGCAATTAGCGGGGCCTTCCCGTTTAGGGCGGTTCGCACCGCAGGCAAGGGTGACTGCCACACTTGCCTCAAGGCGTAGGTCCCCGATGTCACTCCTTCTCACTTATTGTCTCTATCTTACTTTAAGATTGTCATCACATTGAAAGACTTGAGCACCTTTTCTCGCTAATTGTAGTGGTACCAATGGCTTTTCGTGATGGAGAAGTCGCAAACAGGTCATGATGCTGACGAAGCCATATCTCCCACCGGCCCGGTACAATTGACACTCGATGTATCTGGGTACATTGGAGGATATGGAGTCTACTTCGTGTCAGTAATGAATGAGATAAAGTCGATAACGACACAAGGCTGTGAATGCGTAGGCTGACCTGTCAATTGCACGACACATAGCTCGACAGCGTTTGATTAATGATCTTTTTTCGCCATTTCTAAAGCGCTTTGCTAATCGATTCCTTGATGGTCGTTCCCTCGCACCTCGCACCGGGTCGGAGGCCGTAATTGGAGCTTGCCGGAGAGGGGTCATTAATAATCGGGCATCCCGTTCGGCCCTCCGCAAATGCCGTCATGAATCCGAGCAATGGTCTAATCTCACAATGCCGGGCCGACCACATGCAAGTCTCAATAAGACATAAAGCCACTGAACCCCTCATCTGCTCGCCGCGTATCAATCGCATTTCAAAGCATCTCAGTTTCACTTCATAATTCCTAATAAAACTTGAAAACAACACACCAAAATAAACGGTATCCCAAAACGTCTGATTAAACATGGCCTCCAAATCATTCTACGCAATCATCTCCGGAGCGGGTTCCGGCACTGGTCAGAACGCACTCCTACAATAGCGTACCGTTAAGACAGTCGAGACTAACGCAACAGCAGGCCGCGCAGCAGCCGTCCGTTTCTCAAAGGCGTACCCAGTCGTGCTCCTCGCCCGCAAGCCAGAGAGCTACAACGCCATCGTGGACGAGATCAAGCAGGCCGGTGGCCAAGCCTTCGGCATCACGGCCGATGCCACAGACGAGGCCGCCGTCAACGCTGCCTTTGAGACGATCAAGAAGGAGCTCCCCGGAAGCAAGCTCGCTGCCGCCATCTACAATGTCAACGCCGGCTTTTCCCGCAAGCCGTTCCTCGAGCTTAAGCGAGAGGAGCTTGATGTCAGTCTCGATGCTGCGCCGTACGTGAGACATCGTTTACTGGGTCTTCTGGAAGAGGCGACTGACACGCACGGTATATAGTAAGGGGTTCTTCACATTCGCGCAAAAGACGCTTCCCCTGTTGCTCGAGTCGGTGTCCGACTCCCCTCACCCGCCGTCTTTGATCATCACTGGAGCCACGGCATCCATCAAAGGTTTGTCTCCAGAGTGGGGATGAGCTGAAAGATGACTGACCTTCTTCCGCAGGCAGCGCATTGTTTGGAGGGTTTGCGGCAGGCAAATTCGCCCTCCGCGCCTTAGGCCAATCTCTAGCACGCGAGTTCGGTCCGAAGGGGGTCCATGTGGCACACGCCATCATCGACGGAGGCATTGATACCCCGTGGGGTAAGGCCTACGTTGCCAACGATGGCGCAGAAGATGGCAAGATTTCACCGGACGCTGTAAGTGATTTTCAAACCCCTGAAGCAGACATGTTGCTAACAACATCAAGATTGCTGATGCCTACTGGTACCTGCACACGCAACACCGCTCCGCGTTCAGTCAGGAAATTGACATCAGACCGTACGTGGAAAAGTTCTGAGCAATCAAGCGGCACTGGAGACGTTGAGATAGATCCACGTCATGATTGAATGTAACCACCAGTAATCTCTAGCCTCTCTCTAAGTAGCCAAAGATCCTCAATATATCCCCATTGGTAGTCTCACGAGTACTCAACTTAGGAAGTTGATGTGCACGTTACGTACGTAGTCATACTTCATTGATTTTAGGTGTGAGAGTAGACGGATCTGCCACCGTGGTTTGGCGTAGCATGGGCACGGCCGCCGGATGAACCTGGTCTTCCAGGTGCTCGGAATCGGCCTGTTTCGTGGTGATGCTCGCAACCTCGGGCGCATACAAGAAGGCTTCTCCTCTGTTAGGAAGCTCAAGATCCGGACGCCTCGGCAGCTACCGGTTCTGGTACCACTGGTGGAACAGGGCCACCGTTGATGGCAGCCAAACGTTCCTCTTCCCTCTTCTCGCGAAGAGCAGCGGTCTCGGCACGCAGCTTCTCCAAGTTCCACATTCCATCGTCTTCTTCATCATCGTCGTCCTCCTCCTCATCGTCCTCGGTTGTGCGCCAGTTGCCACTTTCGAACAGGGCACGACCAGTTGCTTCCTTGGCCTTCTTGGCCTGCTCCTCGGCCGCCTTCTTGTCCAGACGCTCCTTCTTCCATTTGGCGAATGACTCCGGCGTGACCGGTGTGAGGGTGCCGGTAAGTTTGTGTCGCTCTGACTCGAGGAAGTCTTCCAAGGTGAGGGTCTTGAGAGGTGACTTGTCCATGAGAGCCTTTTCAGCTGCTCTCTGCTCCTTGGTCTTCAAAATGAATCTGTGGCAATGTTAGCATGATAATGACCGCTGGACTGATGTCACTTACCCTGGTGGAAGAGCATGCTTGTATTTGCACTTGTCGCCGCCATTTGGACAGATCCAGAACCATCCGTATTTGCCGTCCTCGATGGCCTCGACGAAGAACTTGCAGACCTTGTCAGTTGTGGTCTGTTGGTTGCCCTTCTTGGAAAGAACGACAGAGCGAAGCTTCTCCTCGTCCCAGTCGGCAGAAGTCTCGGCCTTCTTCTTCTCCTCCTCTTCCTTGCGGGTATCCGTGTACAGGTTCTTCTTTGACGTTTTGCGTTCGTCTTCGAGGTTGTGAGAGAACTTGCACTTCTTGCCTTTCTCACAGTTGCCCTTCTTGTAAAAGTTGCAGACAACTGTCTTGGGGTCGACACCGAACGGGACTTTTTGAATCTGTGCGGGCTTGTTCAGAAGCATGTCGGTCTCCCTCTTGGCTTCCTCCGCCGCCTTCTTCTCGCGCTCTCTCGCCTCCTTCTCTGCCTGCTTGCGCTTCTCTTCGGCACTGCCACCATTCCTCATCGAAGACGCCATTTGGGCAATCTGCTTCTGGGCCGCGCCACCCTTCTTGTTTTTCATGCCGAAGGTCTTGTCCTCGACCTTGACGGCCTTCTTGGCCGGCTTGTCCACTTTCTTGGGAGGCATCTTGGCGGGGTATTCGGTTTCTGGAGACGAGAAAAGGTTGGTGGGCAGAAGCAAAAGTCTTCTGCTACGACTGAGTAACCGCTTCTGGCGGGATTAGTTTGGTTCGTGTTGTTGTGGGATGTCGACAAACAGGTCGATAGGGTCCGCTCAGATCGACGTAACGCAAAAAGTCATCACTGCAAATCCAAGAAGAGTGGGAGCGCCGTGGATGAAGTCAGAAGTTCAAGGCACGGTGGGCGGGTCACGTGAAGGGCTTACATTGGTGGGGGCGGAGCGTCACAGCAGATTTGACCGGGGGGTGCGGTACTGAAGTGGAGGACCGACTCGAGCACCAAGTCACTCTTAGCGTGGCCGGTCTAAACGTGGACAGCAGCTCCAGTGGTCTAGTTGTCCGTTTGGTTACCCATTGCCATCCTCATCTCAAGCTCCATGTGCGCCGCGCCAGCAAGTCCAAACAGCTCACCTTGACGAACAACTTCAACTCCTTCCATTGATTGTTGGAAGAAAGACACTCACTGTACGTTCAAGTCATTGTTTTCTTCTATTGCAGTATTGGTACGGAAAACTGACGCTCAAACGCCGAAGTCCCCTCGAAGATCCTCCTTGCACATCACCCAAAAGCATCGCCGCGCAAACGATCCCGAGCCCATCATGATTTCCGACAACGATCTCTACCGCCTTGCGATCTTCCTTGGCTCTGCCGCCATGGTTCTCATTATCTTCTACCACTATGTAGAAGTCAACAATGAAGAGGAAAAGCCCGAGAAGGCTGTACGACCCGCGAAGTCCGCCAAAGCAGCGTCCTAGAAGGCCACAAAACGGCGCAAGTGAGATAGTCAGGTGCCATGGGATATCCGCTGTAAGATACATATGGCGAGAGGTATTTGGGAATTCTGCGACTGCCCTGAGACGAACGAGACGCGAGGCTTGGGGCGACATATTAGCGATGAGAGAGGGCATTGATGTCAGTGTCTGAGGGGACAGGTGATATCGAATACGGTCTTTCAGGGGGTTGACAACGAAACGTTCCTCCCTTGAGAGAACACAGAGCTTCGAAAGTTAATGCAGTCAAAGAAGCAAACACTAGGGGCATCGACAAGCTCTTGCCCTCCAAAATCGAAACATTAGAGCATCACCATTGAGACGATACCTTAGTCTAATCTGGCTCAGCGCTGCATACACGTGATGAACATCGACTTTGTGCGCAAAATCCCACGGCACAACCTCCATACTGCGGTCTTGCAATGCCATTGACAGACACCGAGGTCCATGATCTTGAACTCCCCTACCTTCGTATTCTCTGCGTAAATGCTGTGGATGCCTCATGACGGTAGGCCATGCTACAGCCTACTCAAACTATTGGCTGTGGCGCTGACCAAATCTTGAGAATCAATCGTACTATCCAGTGATACCAGGGCCTGTTGGTTTATGGCCTGCTGCCTCAATTGCCCCAATTCTTGCTTCGGCAAGTTATATCTTTCGATAAGGCGCATTGAACTCAGCGCCAAAGAGATGGAAAGGAGACCTGACCAGCTGCTTCCCGAAATGGAACAATTGGAAGGCGCAAACAGGGGATGTGTGGCTGAGGAGGCAGCAGCTCTGGCGGATCCTTCTCGGCCCAAAGAGGACTAGTGAGACCAATCAACTTCCCGCTGTCAACGGGGTCCTCAGGCCCCCCTTGTTTTGGTCAGGCGCGCCGCAGCCTGCCGCTCCGCTGGCACCAACACCTTGCCCCGTCTCCTTTCCCATTTCGCCTTCACCCGCCCATTCCATTGATCTCGTTACCTTTCTTCTTCCCAAAGACAAACCTCCCCGTCCAACATCAAAAAGACCCCTCGGCCTCCCGACCAAAGTTTTCCTTCTTCAGCTGCATCCTCAAATTTTTGCGCAGCTCCTGTATTCTCTACCTCTTCCTTCAGACCGACCACTCCTCGCGCGCAAGCTTCTACGCGTCAGAGTTTGATTCTTCATCACATCAGCACTTCGTTTCGCATCACGCTCTTCACGACCTAATAATACTTGAAGAGACCCATCGACCAGCTGCTTTCTCATCGCAGCATTATCGCAAGCACATTTTCCTATCAAACAAATCCAACACCACAGTCATCATGTCTGGAAAGCTTGACCAGTCTCTCGATGAGATTCTCTCGACCCAACGCCGTTCTGCCGGCGGACCCGGCCGTCGCTCTCAGCGTCGATCCACCGGTGGTCGCCCTGCGGCCGCTGCCCCTGTCGGCGGTGTTCAGAAGACATCGCGACCTGCGCGCGGCGCCGCCGCCAACAAGCCTAATGCCGCCAAGCCTGCGCAAGGCTCTGGTGACAGCAAGGTCATCGTGAGCAACCTGGTAAGTTACTTTCCTCCCTCCGTCAATCCTGGCGCAAGCTAACACATACGAAGCCCAAGGATGTCAACGAGCAACAGATCAAGGTATGTTGCCGATAAGGCTCTTCAGCCCTCGGACTTGGTTCGACATGTTATTTCTCGCCTGCTCTCCTTCCCAGCCGGCGTCGTAGCGATATCAAATCCACTGTGGCCATTGCCGCTTCCCAAACGGAATCCGTCAAGACACCGCCAAGACTCCTTCCTCGATATCTGCGATCCTGAGATACGGCGCAGAGCTCATCAGAAGTTGAGCACGTCCCTGTCGCGCGAACACAGTCCAAATTTGAGGTAGCCTGGTCAGCACCCAAGAAATTGGTACAGCCGACTGAAAATATGGGACGTTGGCTGTCTTCGACGGATATCCACAAGACCAACTTGGTCTGGCACCGCTCATCAGCATGATGATGCAATATGAAGCCCTTTCCGGCGAGCAAAGCAGTGAGCAACGTCGCAGCACAGGCCAGGACGGCTTCGATACATAGCTTCGCTGCTATCGATTCGCGAACCTACAATGACGGATGGCCTTTCAGCGGGGTTTCGGGGCATAGTACATACACATGGCTATTTGGGTCTGAAACTGGTGTTACGGCCATGTGTTACGACGTTCCCCCACAGCAGCTGTTACGACTTGGGGTGATACCCTCCGACTTGATGGCAACTGAACACGAGGCAGCCATGGCTTCAACTGGGGCTTCTTTGGGGATGGACGCTGACGTGCGTACTAACGCTCACTGCTCTGCTCGCTGCCAACCTCCTGTGCTCCGGTCGACTATTGGATTTCTGCCGATTCCTTGCCCCTCGTGCGGCTCGGGTTCGGACGACGCTCGTGATTGAAACATCAACGCTTACGGATAACTAACATCGACTTTCCCTTCAGGAGTACTTTCTCACATCAGTTGGACCCATCAAGAGAGTTGACATCTCTTACGGACCCAACTCTGTTAGCCGCGGCATTGCCAACATCACATTCCGCGAGGCGGATGGCGCTAGCAAGGCCTTCCAGAAGCTGAACGGTCTTCTCGTTGACAACCGCCCGATCAAGGTAAGCTTCTCGAATCATACCCTTTCATGTACACTCTAACGGGGACTAGATTGAGATCGTTGTTGGCGCTTCTCAGGCAGCCAACGTCATCCCTCCTGCCAAGAAGACTCTTGCTGAGCGCACCACGTAAGCAAAATCTCTTTGAGATACTGAAATACATATTAACAAGAAAACAGACAACCCAAGGCTCAGCCCAAGTCTGCTGCCAACAACAAGCGCAACAACAACAGCAACAACGCGAACGCCGGCAAGGGTGGCCCTGCCGCTGCTGGCACTGGTGGCAAGAAGCCCCGTGCCAAGCGCACCGGCCGTCCTGCAAAGAAGACGGCCGAGGAGCTTGACTCCGAGATGGCCGATTACTTCGAGTCTGGTGCCAACCCCAATGAGAACGCCGCTGCCCCCGCACCTGCCCCCGCAGCCACTAACGGCGACGCTGCTATGGAGGATGAGATCATGTAAACGGTACAAAGCTACTACAGACTCATTCACATATCGCTGGGCACTGAGGAGGTCAAAGTGGCACATTGTGTGGGGGGCTCCCTTCAACTTTCCTTATGCGCGCGACTCCGAAACTCTCAAACAGATTGCTGGAAGGAGAGAAGACACGGAGGTTACGGGATTATGGCTTTGGTTTCGACATGTTTTGGTTTCTTTCAAGCTCTCAGACTGCCTCCCTCGGCCTTCCGGCAATTATTCCCAAACATTACAAAAACACCAACCACGGCTTCATTGAGCCGGAACACCACATCACCCATCTGCTTCGCCCAAATTATAGCAGGGCATGTATTATAGCGATGCTCAAGTCGGACAGACTCTAATACACAAAGCGCCGAGCCCCCAACTTGAGATTCAATAACGCAACGTGAAGTTCTTCGTGATTAATTAGTGTCTGAGCAAATCATTCAGTTATTTAGCAAGAAGAAGAGGGGGGGGGGGGGGCAGACAGGTTGCGGTCAGGCATGCGGAGACCTTTAATGATGTAGATAAAGGAACACAGCTGATCTCTCAAATCGATTCACCAACCCATGATCTTGAAGTAGGTTTCCCGGCTTCACAGACGCAAAAATTCGATCCTAGACATCTTCTCGTACACCGAGCGCCTACAGACAGACAGACCACGAACCGCGTTTGCTAGTAAGTAACGTCCACGGTGGGGTTCGAAAGAATGCTCAGAGAATCATGATATCCATTCGCTAAATGCCTACCACACCTTGAGTTCTCGTCTTAAATAAGTAGAAACCAATCCCACAGATCACGTGTCGTCTTTTCTTTTGGTCTTTTGATTCGAAAAAGTACATTCATAGTCGTTAGTCTAGAGCGGTATCCACGGGCGTTGCAGCCAAGATTGCTGGCCTAAGTGCCGGGAAAGTCGTCTCGGGGTGCGTGATAAAGGAAGAGATTGCTTATTTCGCAGCAGCCTTGTCAGCAGCAGGTGCGGCCTTGCCGTCGTCCTCCTCGCCCTCCAAGGCAGGCATGTCATCGTCATCCTCATCATCTTCCTCGTCCTCCATATCTCCCAAGCCTTCCATACCCGGTGCGCCGCCGCCGCCAAGCTTGGAGAAGTCGATGCCGCCGAAGTCGCCGCCGCCGGGGCCACCCATACCAGGCATGCCACCTAGTGAACGAACGTGTTAGTCTTTGCAACTGGAAAGGCTCTATTGCACCGTAATCCACCATGGCGGGGTGTTGAGTTGCAAGGGAGTTTGTAAATCACGTACCCATACCGCCGAACTGAGAGAAATCCTCCTCGGCAGCCTCATCCTGCTCGTCCTCATCGACCCACTTGTCAAAGTCGGTCTTCAGGAAGTGGACCTTCTTGGCCTCCTTGAGCAGGCGAGGCCAGTACTCCTCCTTGAGTTCCTTCTTCTGGAGCTTGAACTCGACATTCTTGCCGGTGTGGTTGACCTTGCTCTCAGCGGGGTCGATCTCAGCGTACAGCTCGAGGTCAACGGCATACGAGCGCTTCAGAGAGTCGGAGGTACCGCTGAAGGACAGGCCGGTAGGCTTCAGGTCGACCTTGAGACTGGACTTGGGAACATCGGGAACGGTGATCGTCAAGTAGACGAAGTTCTTGGAGGCGTCTGACGAGCTGGAGCGCTGGGCCCAGAGAACTGTGGGGGGGAGACCGGGTTAGCTTCGGCGCATGTTCCGACATGGGGGTTAAGGGCGTGACTTCAAAAATGAAGATAGCATGAGTTGCCGGCGGATGTATAAGTCGGCGATTGAATTCCTAGAACGCGCCAAATGGGAAGATGAGCTTGTACGTACCCTCAGGAGTTTGTGTGGTGGCAGACATTTTGCTGGTGGGAATTTGTCGAGCAGGGAGCTATGACGGGGGATGAGGGGTAGGTTGATTCACGCGAGGCGCAAAGGTGTCGCAAGGAGGCAATCGCGGTTGGCAAATTGACCTAGTGAGAAGGGGTATTATGTGTAGACGTTGTGCAGATATCGACAACGACTGTTGGAGTTGGAGGAGTTGAGAGTGTGTGGAAGAGAGAAGCTGGAGGGGGTTGTGAGGCTACAGGTTTGAAAAGGCTGGGCCCTTGGTTGGGGTGAGGCCGGGTGGGCTCCAGTTACCGCCTGGAGATCACGGGCAATTGTAGAAGGCGCTCGAATCCGAAAGATTTAGTAGTAACCCACACCAGGCAGGCGGCAGGATGCACAGAGCACCTACCTTACGGAGTACCTCGCAGCACTAACAGCTCCAGGCTGGCACTGGCACTGGGGGCCAACTGGTGCTGCCACCACCACTGGGCCGCTGCGGACCGGACCCTGGCAGGGCTGAACGCACTGTACACTTAGAAATCCCGCCTCCTTTCCCCCCCCTCCAAGTTCCCCTCCTCCCTCCCGTTCAGTCCAGGGCTGTTTATTTTTTTCCCTATTCTTCTTTTGGCGGTGCCAGGTACCTGGCCGAGCCTCTTTTCTGTCTTTCCAGTTGATACCAGGTACTTCTTTCCATGTGGGACTGTTGCCCCAGATGCGAGTACCTGTTTCCCTGTCTTCCCCTCTTTGCTGACGTTGGCTTCGCGGCCGAAAGAGCTTTCCAGCCCCCTGCAACCCCACGAAATAGGCGTAAGAAGCATTCTGAGTGGATAGATGTCGCTTGCCTGCAGCTCTTGGTGAGGCGCATCATGGCAGACGCATGCACACAACAAAATCGACCTGGAGCAGTCTGTTCCCTTGTGTCAACTAATGTAAGGCGATCTGGAATCTTTGATCTTCCGGCGAGACGAAAGTCTGTTCTTCATTCTGATTCCCAGGTCCCTCGGCGTCGGAGCTGTCATCCAACCGGGCCTGAGCATCCAACTACGGTACTTGACATCCATCTATGTATAAGGTAGGTAGGTAGCCAGCCACAACAGCGTAACTTCGTCCTGTCTTCCGACGCGGGTCAACTAAGGCAGGCAGTGAGATCATCGTGGGCCCTTGCCGATTTCTTATCCACCAGGGGTCTCATTTGCTGCAATACGGGCCGCCCGGAACGTGCGATTCGCCTACCTGTGTGATACTCACTGCCCGCACTCGGATTCCCAAACTGTCCGCTGGATGACACAGGGGCGAGCAGCTTCTCATTCGACTGAGAGACCTCTCATCCTGCCAATGGGTACCGATTGAATGGCTTTTAGATTTCAGGATGAACCAAAGGCTGCAGTCATTGACTCAAAATGTGTTTCTTGTTACTGCCAAGGTGCCAGTTCAGTCAGTCGAAGCTTTCCAGGCCCCCATCCAGCGTCAACCACCCACTCGCTTAATGCGGTACTCGTCAGATGCACTCCCTCCTTACTTGCACTCAGTTGATTAAGTGCATATCAATCACACTTTCCCCACGTGACGACTATCCCCCACTACAAGCCGTATCAGTCGATGCGGCAAGCAGGGAATGACGACACATCGCTTCCCAACCCAAGGCAGCGCTGATTGAACCTGGCAAACGACGAGGCTGGCGACAGCCTAACACAACGCGCTACGAAGAACCATCCACTACATACCATCACGAAGCCTCGGTATCCTAGGCTCTCTGTATTGACGGTTTCTTTCGGCCCTTTTGCTTGTCGATCCGCACAACATGGAGACGCTGAGAGCCATATTCGTCAAGCCTGATCCGCAGCAACAGGTAGATTACGCCCGTCGTGGCAGCAGTGCCTTGGGAAATTTCTAATGAGTTTGTATCTGAACAGCTGCGGAAATGCAACGCTCTCATTCGCTCGAATATCCGTAAACTCGACCGCGATATCAACCAAGTCAGGCAAGTCGAGGCCAAGACGAAGAACCTCATCCTCCAAGCCGATAAGCGAGCCCAACGAGACCCGACGAGACAGAAACAAGCACAGAAGGAGGCGCGCGACTTTGCGCGGGAACTCATCCGCGCGCGCAAGACGAGCAATCGCCTAGTCACTTCCAAGGCGCAACTGAACAGCGTGCAAATGCAGGTCAACGAGGCGTTTGCCGTGAGGAAGATTGAGGGCAGCATCCGCGCGAGCGTCGGCGTGATGAAGGACGTCAACCGTTTGATTCGGCTACCTGAGCTGGCCGGCACGATGCAGGAACTCAGCGCGGAGTTGATGAAGGCCGGCATTATCGAGGAGATGGTGGGCGAGAGTCTGCCCGAGGACATGGACGAGTTCGAAGAGGAGGAGGCCGAGGGCGAGGTCGACAAGGTCCTCGGCGAGATTCTCAAGGACCGCATGTCCAAGGAGAAGCTCCCCGCTGCGCCGGTCACGCAAGAACCCAAGCCGGTCGAGGTCGAGGAGGAGGAAGAGGATGCCGAGGCTATGATGAATCAGATGCGCAACAGACTGGAGGCCTTGCGGAGCTAAGGGCTTGCATATCGATAAAGGCGGCGTACGGTGTTTTGTTTCACGGGCCAATTCTGTCAGCTCGGCTTTTTTAAAGGCAACATTCCACACAAGGGTCCAGATACAACGACGGCGACACATCCAGGCCTGGCAGGGCTTTTCCCAGCAATTTGTCGGGCGTGTCCAGATCTACACAGTTTCTGTGGCTCTCATTGTGCTCCCGGGTCATCTTCATGTTTCGTCTGGCGTTTGGAGTAGCCATCATTCAGAAGTAAACATTCTCTTCACGTGTTGAAAGGTCAGACGGGTGATTCTAGGCCAAAGGACATTGTACAGTTCCTTTCGCTTGGCGGTTTGCATAAGTTAAGAGACTAAAAAAGAAAGTCCTCAGACGAAAAAATGTCTTCCAACTTTGTCCAGCTCGTTGTTTCGATGTAAAGAGCAATTAGGTCATATTTGATCTTTCCATCATAAACCAAAAGAGACCAATTTCCCCGTTTGTCAAGCCAAATTTTCCAATCATACCTTTCAGACGTCCCCGGTCGTGATTTTAAGATCTGAGATCTCAACTTGGCAGCGCCCGCCATGTCTCACACGGAGAATGCCGTCTTATCCTCTCTAAGTAAGCTGTTCACCACGCTTCGGTGGGCATTGTTTGTGGAAGTCTTCAGAAAAGCACTTGGTCGTGCTGAGATCCTTCGCTGCCAGCTTGTCCCTCTTCTCATTGTTTGTTTCCTTTCACTAAGGCTACATGTGCCTCTCAAGTGGCCGGTTGGGCGATTTGCGGTCATTCTTCCGTGGATGATGGTACTGATGTCGGATTTTACTTAATTGGTGTATTGAAATGGATTAAAATCAAGTCAAGATCAACTTCTATGGCTATATACAAACAGCGCATTAAGTTACTTGGGCAAATCGAGAGTGAATTCGACAACATGGCATCGTGGCTCTCATCGGAGCAGCTTTTGCCAAAGGATCATGTGCGAGTTACCAAAGGCTGAGGGACGAAACAGCATTCTCTCTTGGACATACGAAGAACCTCATAATTTGATCGTGTAAATGATCGTGCGTGATAATCGGTAAGATACTGATTTACAGCTTTCGCCTCGTTGTCAGAATACTATGTTGATGTCAGACTAGTATAGTGTTGTAATCTTCAGCTCTGAGGCCCTCTAATAAGCATGCGAGGTATAGCTCTCCCGGGCTTGATTGTCTCCTTGTCTCGAGGCCATCAAACCATTGGACCACTTTGACTAACTTCACAGGCAGCGACGACAAAATCGTAAAGCTTAGTTAAGATTGGAAGACTAACAGCAACAAATAACGGAAAAGTAGGGAGTAATGAGAGGTCACAAGAGAGGAGGAAGATGGCATCAGAAAGGAGACAGGCCCAGATGGAGAAAGGAACGGCATCGGCGGCACAAGCTATTTATGCAACTACTTCGCCGCGATATTATCGTGGCCTGCCGCCACTGGGAGAACAACAGGTATAATAGAAAATGATTCAATCTGTTGTCTTCTCTCAAAGCTCAACGACCTCTGGGTTAGCAGCGAACCAAACTAAGAAAACACCACCAACTACATTCAGACTATGGAAAACATGGCTTAACATCTGAATGATATCAATTCATCTTCCAACCCCAAAATACCGCCGTTAACCCATAAAAACATCAAATCTGCATCACCTTAGAATACAACCTCCTCATACAACACCTCTCCATAAACCAATCCCCATCAACTCTTCTCCACGTCTCATGATAATGCCCCGCGCCCGTAGAATGCAAACCCGACTCCGAGCCCCTTGTTCCAGCGTGATAGATCACCCCAAACACAGCCTTGACCTCGTCCTCGGAAACCTGCTCCAGGTCCCCCGCGTCCGTCAGGTGCATCGTCTGCATGACTTTAAAGGCCTCGCTAAAGTGCGCGACCCACGCTTCGCGCGAGGTCCAGCGGTACCGGACGCCGTTGAGGATCAGGATGCTGCCGTCTAGGTCGAAGGCCTCGAAGGTGAGGGTGGGGAGCATGATTATGTCGAAGCGGTCCCAGTCGCATGTGTCGGCGAAGCGGCAGTATTGGGCTTTTTTGCGGCGGATGATTTCTGCTACTTCGGGGGAGATTGCCATCTTTTGTTCGGTATTCCGGTTTCTCGAGGGTCCAAGATGCGAGGGAAGACAGCAGATATAAGCTGATCGCAACAACGATGGTAAATGAGTAAAGGAAATAATCACGTCCTCCGTCTATTGTTTTCCGACATATCCCAACGCTATGTACCAGTCTATGCCCCATCATCGAGTCACAAGCAGAAGAGGGGGTTTTGCGGGGACGCTGTCGATCATCACACTTTCTGCCAAGAAGGGAGTTGATATCAGATGCTTCCCACGCTCGAATTACCTATTGAAGAATCATGGTAACATCGAGACCGTTGAAGACATGGGGGTTTCCTGCAGCTGTGGCAGCCCTCCAGCATTCGACCCATCCATTTACTAGGATGGTTAGAGGGGCGTAAGCACTTGTCCATAGCATGCCAAGCAGGGATTCCACTGGTTCATCGAGCATTGTATGATAGTGACGATCTAAGCATTCATGTGATCTTGGTGAGAACCTCAATATCCGGGGTCTCATCCGATTAAGTGATAGGAAGTGCAGATTTCCCCCTTCTTAGCACTCAAGCATCGTTTGTTGTAAGTCTTTCGGCAAGACTAGCAAGTGGCTTGTTCAATTCAGTTGGTAGTCCTCGACGCACATATCATCCTTGGAAATACATCTATTTTCGCTCGTTGCTTCCTATGAGCATCGAAGCCAAGATAGAGTCAAGATCGGGTTGTCAAAAAAAAAAAAAGTTCATCAAGTGGTACCACCACCTCTTTGACGAAGCTTTCACAGGCCTTCGGCGACATGTCTCCTATCAGTGATGCCCAGACAGGACTGATGATGAAGCTTCAAGACTGTCTTGCACCATCGATCGTGATATCGTAAGATAAGCAGGTTCGATCTCATCACTGTCCTATCGCAGTCAAAGCCTTGCAACATGTCTGCCGCAAAGTCGGAGTTCCAGTCTCAAGCGATCGAGATATCCCAAGTAAGATATGTTCGCCTTGTCCGCATCTGATATCTCATCTCTCCTCGAACGTACCGCATCCGGTTCAAGACAGCCTTGAAAACCTCAACCACAACCACAACCACAATCAACAAAATCTTAACTCAGACATCTCTCTCAACACCACGATACCTCTCAGAGGCTCGCCGTCTTCGAAAATAACGTTCGCAACCTCGTCTCAGCAAGCAAACCACCCCCCCTTCCCCATCCTCATCCTCCACCCTCCAAGTCTCGAGATAATGCCCGCCGGCAGTCAAATGAGCCCCCCTCCTCAGATCCGGCATGTCCAACATGATACACGAGTCCCAAAGACGGCCTTGGCCTCATTCTTACTGTCCCACTCCGGTACCCACCCCGATCCCGATCCCCGATCCCCGTCTCCGGGCCCCATCCCCCCCTCAACAGCCTCCAACTCCCCTGGACCACCATCACGCAAAGTCTGCATCTCCTTAAACTCTCTTTCCACGACACGAGACGAACGCGGCTAGGCAGTTCAAACCCACTTCTGCTCCACCCCGTTCTCGTCGATGTACATCCGGCCCGAGGCGTCGAGGAACCTCGATCTCGGCGTTGGGTAGGATTAGACTGGAGCGGAGAGACTATTATGTGGCATAAATGTAGCGGCAGTAGCGCGTCTTACTACGGCGAATAGATTCTGCTGTTTCGATCAAGATGGGCACGATCGATCGTTGGGAGGGTTTATTGGTTTGGGTGAGAGGTTTGGTGCAAGTGTGAACTCGATGTGCCCATTCATGCATGGTTCCGGACGAATCTCAATAAGCCTCACGAGTTGACTTTGTCTCCACGAAGCAGGCCAGTGGCCTTTTCATCCAACTAGGCTGTCTATCTAGAGATCTAGAAACCTTATTCCTTGTGATATGTGACCCAATATCCTCACACAAGAAAGGATATCCTCTGCAGGAGGCCGCTTAACCACGCAAAGCCTTGTAGAAGCCTCGCTTTTGTTTAGAACCAAGTCACACAGCACGGCAACAGGTATACGAACAGTGATATCTGTCCCAATGCTCAAGCTCACCGCAACTCAAAGGACAACAACACTGACACGTTACTTCTCCACTCGCCGCAAAGCCGCATCTCCCAGTAACCCAACGGCCCCAAGCCAGAAGCAGTTGACTCAGCATGCCATCTGTAAGCTGCTCTCATAAGCGGCTCTGCTCTCAGTCAGACCGTTCAGCCTATCACTGATCAGTCAAGCTCACCCCGACGATCCCCCACGATCTGACAACCCGTACGACGAGACCGGTGAACCTCCACAGGCCCTGCACCCAAAGCATACCGCGTAAGAATGGCTGATGTAAGACCACCAAAATTCCAACGCACGCGACGAACAAGAGATGAACAACGCTCTTGTCAGCTAGAACACCCCCAATCTCTCGGCCGGCGGTTGCGGAATCTCCATCTTCATCTCCACGAGATGGAACCGCAATAAGGCTCAACGGCTCTGGAACGCCGAACGCAGATCCCTTTTTGACAAACTTCCCCGATCGATGGGGATATCCTTCAATGGTGTATTATGGCCTCGGGGCGAGCAGTCCCACAATCCCAAAACGGTCTGACCGTTTCGCAGCCACCGTTTCCGGGAGCATAACTCAGGGGGAGGGGAGGGGGAAGTTATGCATTCCACACACTGCATGACCATTTCCGTTGCCCTCCCTCCATCCACCCGGTAGACTAATCCGGCAGCAACCGAGCAAGAGCCGGAAAGTCCCAGGGCAAAACTGCAAACTGCAAATCGCAAACACCCAAACGCTCAAAGCAGCAGCACGTCAGGGAGAAGAGCGCGCAATCACCCGCTAGACCGGAACAGGACCCCCTGCCGCAACTGCATCCACACACCCACGCAAACCACGCTTTCTGCTCTTCTCTTCTACGGGTCCCACAACCCGCAGCCGGTCCAATTTCG